TACAGAAGAGAGAATACTTACCGAAATGGGGGAACAAGGTGGACTAAGAGATCCTTATTCTGATCTTGATAAGCTAACGAAATAAAATAATTGAAAGGGTAGAACATAAACACTGAGTGCGGTCAGAATCGAGGGTAATTTAATAAATCATCTCTACATCTGAAATGTCAACGTTTAAATTTAATTCAAATTGATAAAAGGGATTGATTCGTAGTCTGGAAAATGAGAGCCAATGAAGCTGTACCTAATTGTTAAATGACTATCAAAGAAATTCTATTGTATCGAAAACCAATATGTAATCAAACGTATTTTCAAGGAGTCGCCGAAAATGAAAATATTACCTACCTTTGTAGTGCAGTTCCAAACAACCTTTCCGGGCTCAGAAGCACGTTTTTCTACTTGATCTGTAACAGATAGAAACACAAACAAAAAAAAAACAAGAGGAATAGTGAATAGCGTGGCACATAAACATTGCAATAGCAATGTTTAACGTTTGACACTCGGGTACTCGAATACTACGAACCGTAATTAACACTTAATAAGAATCCATAATTCAAATGACCTTACTAGCAAACGCAAAATTTTGATCAGCAACGAATTGTTCGTAGAAATCGGTGATATATAAAAACATTAAAGTATCGTTAACTTAGTAACCTAGGCAAAATCAAAGTGTCGGAAGATGTATTCTTCGTAACGTAAGATCGGAAGGATCGAAGCAATTTACAACAGCAATAATCCCCAAAAGGTTTTGTTAATTGCGGTTAAATTTCAGGAACAAATACGTCTCCACGTGTGAATCTTTCTTTCGAAGTAGGTCAGCAGTAACGTGTCATGTGATTAGTTTTACATAAGATGGCGGTGGAAATTTTCCAATGGAACTTCCTTATTGTGTAATACTGAGAAATCCAAAATAAATAATAATAAAGAAAGGAATAAGCCAGAAGTAAAAAAAAGACGCAAATGGCATTAGAACTTGTAAATATATCCGCAAAGCGAAGTCTATGAAGCGAAGCAAATACTTAAGAAATTTCACGACTGCCAACGAACCCCTTTTAAAGGTAAATGATAGAGATTTATTGCCCAACAGAACATAATATTCCAATTACAGGACAATACATATTTAAGACGAAAGTTGTCACTGCAAAAAGTTATTGGCGACGTGTACGTTCTTTCTACAGGAAATGCGCACACAGAAAAGATCAAGGAAAGGGCAATTATTACAGACTTCATCTGCGCGACCTCTAGCGGGAAAATAAAGAACTATGGTAAATGAAACCACAAAAAATACGTTACAATTTACGTGTCTCAGGGAATATTTAAAATTTTTGCAAAAAGTACGGATTCCTACAAGATTATTCATACTTTACCAGTTGTTCAGAGCTGGCTTAAAGGTTTAGAGATTCGGCAGAGATATTTTTAAGAAATTCTTCAGAGGTTCACTTTGAACGTTTCACAAAATTGTTCAGAAATCTCAAGGTGTCTCAGAGGTCTTTCAACTGGAAAATTTTTAGAAATTCTGATGTGATCTTTCAGTGCCGATCTATAGGCCAATTTCACATAGATCCTTCAGTAACCGCCTGGGACTCCCCATACAATTTTAAGTAATTCATAATTCAACGAGCAAGCTCTACACGCCGTGGCCGTCTTTAAATTAAGAATTTAGTAATTTCTCCTCATGCACTACAGGTATTTGCTATAAAATCCCAATATTGACTGAAATTAATAATTTGGAAGACTCGGTGACTTTCTTCTGTACAGGATTACTATAATAATTAATAGAATAGAGTGAACTATCCGAACAAAAATAGAGTCGACTCCTTTCCAACCGTCGCGAACCAGGTGGCAGCAGCTCCCTTTCCTTGCCTCGCGTATTTAAGGGAACACCACTTCCGTCATAAAATCAATGTCCTTTCGGTTTTTACAAATAAAGCGCCAATCAAAATTAAATTAAATAACGCCAACTCTGAAGGAACGTGCTTGAAGGTCGCTCTTCTTTCTCACTAGACGCGCAATTGTAATATTTACTTTTAACATGAGCGCGCATTTCGTTATACAGAGTGTAGCATCTAAGATCCCTCGGATTCCTTTACAATAAAAAATATTTAACAAATGTGCACATTTACCATGGTTTTTAGTTTTTATTCTGTACTTATTTTGCTGCAGAAATAAAACCAAAAGATTGTTTTTTATGCCACGGGACATTTTTAGATTTATCATTATACATTTTCCATTACCTAAAGTAACAGACTGCTGGATCAGTTCTGAAGAATTGTACAGGAATCATCATCCAATTTGTAATTAGTTAAACTCTTTTTGGCAAAACCACAATCAACATAAGTTCCCGAAAACATCATCGACCACGTGACCGAAATTTGCCAACATATCACAACGTGATTAAATTACAGCATCCGTGTAAGGGGCAAGAAGAATCGGCATTAATCAGACTTACCCCAAATACAAGCCATGCGAGACATTCGCTAAGATAAGAACCCATTTTCAGAGACTTGTTATAACTAGACCGCGCGTAACGTAGATTTTACTATAAACGCCTGTTGTCAAGATAGGATAGGCAACCAACTGTTCATCGCGGGGCAGACGTACGTTCTGCAGCTTGCTTTAGCCATGTTTATTCTAAACTTTAGTAGCAAAAAATGATAACATATAGCTGTTAACTATTTTAATCGAATTTGTTGGTATTTTATTTGAACTAAATTGGTATATAACTGCCTTACTCTAGTCCTAATTTGATTTATATGTGTATTTTGGTGGTGAACACGTATGGGAAAATATACTCTTAAAACTAAAGATGTAAGTAGTAAGATATGATTATTTAGCGGATTTTGATTCAATATATGCCTATCCAAAAACCCAAATGGGCTGTAACTGTTATTTATTTTTCTTAGACTGCTGATAACCATTTTGTTTACAACGCGGTGTGGTGTGGATTGAATGAAAAACCTGAACACATTTTCAGCAATTTGGCAAATTTTTAATGCATCGCTTGATACGTGCAACAATCCTCCACGATTTTTTCTAGTTAAAAGCTTTGAATGACTCTCTGATGCGAATATCGCATCTGCACATATGGAGCAGTTAACAGACTTAGCTATTTTTCTTATAACAAAACCTGAAATATACTTAGTACCAGTAAGTACTTAGTTACGTCTATACCTAATAGGCAAATAGGTATTGTCGTTGTCTTGCTGGTAAAGGATGTCGAATAATAGTTCTACGTTATTTTAAGTGAATGGGAAAGTCGAAAACGCTCGGTATTGCATTATTGTTTAACACCTTCGTAGGTACCTTTCTAAAATCGGCTTCATTCCCCGCAAATGTACTATGGTGGGAGTAAATTTTTCTCTTCGAATGGCTCTGATCCATTGGCCCTTTAGTACATATATCCATAGGCCCAGAGTACATGATCATAGGCACAAGTTAACCTAAGTTTATTGGTTTATTCTCAACAGAAATTTATCTGTTCACTAATTCGAGTTAATCACGAGAATGATTAATGAACGGAACATCTAAAATAACAGCTTATTTCATTATATTGCACATCATCTTAGCGATTTTTGCCCCGCGGTGCATTGTGTGTTGCATACTGTGTCGACAACACCTTAGATACGTTAAGCGCAGTCTAGTTATAGCAAGTCTCTGCCCATTTTACTTTAGCCAAGAATACGTCACACTTACGTACATGGCAGCAGGCGTAAAAAAACAACACAAACAGGGTCGGTCCTCATTAGTTACGTCGTCGGTCGAATCCCCTTCACCAAGAGTACGGACCAGAAAAAAAGTGGTGGGGGTGGTGCCTATATACTACTCACCTATAAATCTACGTGCCGCAACCATATACTACTCACCTATAAAAAAACCAGGAGTGCCCTGACCGTAACTGAATAGGTTTGTGCGAAAATGAAGAAAAAAGTTGCATAACTCAAAAACCATAAGAGCACAGAAATAAAAAGGAAGAAGAAATAGCAACCATTTGCAGAAAATCGAGGTAAAAGAGGATTTCGCGTTAGCACACAAATTTGTCTTAAGTATATAGCAAGAAATAGCACAATACCATCACGAAATCAAAACACAAAAAAATTCGAATATGGTATGGCAAGTATCCACAAAATTGAGGCAAAAGCAAAAAAGAATAATTACAATTGTACAATAGCGAGTGTAGGCGTGAAGAGTTTGAATTACTCGAAAACGATAAAAGCACATTTGTGTGACACTGAAAAAAGTAGAACAAAACGAACGACTTCTATTTTTCAACATTCCATTAAAAAAAATTGAATAACTCGAAAACAATAAGAGCTAAAAAATCAGTACCTTTAACTTTAACTAAAAATTGAAGGGTGCGAAAATTCTAGGTTTTTATTTTGTAACAATTTGAGTTCAAAAATGCACCCTTATACTCCGTCGTGTAGGTGAGACAATACAGAACGCCTACAAAAACGGTCAATATCGACATGTTCTCCGTTCGCTAGCTAACCAAATTATCGGTATTGAAAGTAAGCTCGTTAAAAATAAATACATCCAATGACGTTCAACGGTTCAACTCTTCTCATAGTTAAATACTGCACTAATTGATTAATGAAGTCACGCGTATGAGTAGACATTTTACAATGCGAACTTGAATTATGTCTCCTATAGAAAATTGCAGCACGAGCGCAAATACCGCTGAATTGTGCAAACTAGTTTTTAATTAATAAGAAAAAGTCGCGACACGTTTTTGTTTTATCTGGTGAAAAGGTAATAATAAATAACGTAAGTAAGTTAGCGCAATTAAATTTACCTTCTTCTTTTGTGTGTCATCGTAATTTGTTTCGGTTTAGTCGAAAACTCGTTCGAAATGTAAGCTGAGTGGAGCAGAGTAAGTACTAAATATTTACACACGTGCATTAAAAATGCCTGTTGTATGTTTACAAAACCCCCCTACGAATAGAAAAGAATTTATAACCATAAACCCAATGTTGGAGCAAATGATTTTTCCAGCAATAAAACCGTGCGTGCCGAGAGGTAATCGAGGCGACGAGTAACCTTATCTTACCGCTGATAAGACTTCTGAGTGTGCGGTTTTAAAATACACCTTCGCTTTTTTCCTTGTTGGAATTGGAATCAAATGCAGTCGTGACTGATACGTTTAACGTGCGGTATGTGCATCTATTGAGAAAATAAGAGACCAAAAAGGTATTTTTTTTATTAAAAGCAATAATTATGTGCGTACAATTTCGGGTTTTTTGTCGATAGCATTATCACATTCGTCACATGTTTATATTATGTGAATCACATTCACAACCCAATTAGATTTTGTCATTCATTAAATAGTAGTACTAGGTAAAATTATCAAAAAAGGGCGGTGCAAAGGCTACTTTCGAAGGTCGTTGATTAGATCATAACAAAATACTGTGACTGCCGTAACACGTCTGAAAAATCTAAACGGTATGTAGCTAAGTAATTAGCGTTAATAAAAAAATATGTTAACACTAAAGTGGAATCCGTAGAGTTAGCAGTAGATGACTATTCATTAAAACATACGCATTTTTGTGTGCTAAATTTGTGCCAACGTGTGGCCGTAATTTAGTAGTTTGTCAGTAACCATTTCGCTCAATAATAATTACATTACAATAAATACATAAACAAAGCTAAAATTATACATGGAATATGACGTCCAAAAGGCGAAGTTCATTAAGAGACAAAAGTCCTTTATGCTCTTCCACTTAACCCTTTTAGTAGCAAAGTAAAATTAATCTATATAACAAGAATACAAGTATAAATTGCGCACAACTCTTGTGCAGATAAAGCGCATTTTTTTAAAACCGAAATAGGTTTTGTTTTGTCTCAATCGCCCTTTGTGAGTACCCTCTATCGACAATCCGTTCTTGAGGTATAAGGGAATATACCCGATCACGATAAGAGGTCGAGGAGGAGGACTATGGTTGGTAGGAATTAATTCCTTTCGTTGAGACCTTTCATTAGAGTACCATGAAGGATAAAACTAGTTCCCCCCCCCCCCCTTCTCCTCTACTCCGTGCTTTGATAAGAGGACAGAAGAGGAAGGGCAGTAGTTGGTAGAAAACGGTTCCTTTCGTTGAGACCTTTAATTAGAATACAATGAGAGATAACATAATTTTTAACTCCCCCCTCAGGTCCCGTCGCTCACTGATCTCGAAAGAGTCGCACGGGAAAGTTATAGTTTGTACAAACCAATTTATTTCGATGAGACCTTTCATTAGAATACTTCTAGGGGAATGGTCCTAGAGTCCTGGAATTTTTTGCAGTAGGTAGCCTATACCTCTTGAAGGTGTGTAAGACGGTCATCAAATTTCGCTGTCAAAAATTTGGACATCTTTTGGGTTCAAATGTTTTGGTCGCCAAAAATACACATCAATCACTTTTTAGGTATCGAGCAATCGAGTTTGGTCTTTTTCCCAAGAAAATTGGTGTACAAATAACGATTTGGCATCTTTTGGAACTGGGTACAAATACTTTGATCTCCAAAAATACATATGGACCCTAGCATGGACCACTTCTTGGGTATCGAGCAATTGAATTTGGTCGCTTCCTCAGGAAAATTGAGCCATAAATAACAATTTTGACATCTTTTGGGTACAAATATGTTGGTCGCCAAAATATACATGAGCATCGAGCAAGATTTTTTCCCCAAGAAAATTGATGCACAAATAACGATTTTGACATCTGTTGGGTACAAATATTTTCGCCGCCAAAAATACACACGGTTCACTTCTTTGGTATGGAGCAGTCGAGTTTGGTCTTTTTCCCAAGAAAATTGATGAATAATAATTATTATATTTTTTGGCTAAAAAATGTATATGCATCACTTCTTGAGCATCAAGGAATAGACTTCAGTCTTTTTTTCAACAAAATTGATGCATAAATAACAGTTTTGACCGATTTTGGGAAACAACGTAATGGGTGGCAAAGTTAATTTTTGATAGTTGCACATCTGGAACCCATAAGATTTCATATAGGGAAAACTCGAAGTCGATAAGAGGTCTAGGGACTGAGCTATACCGCGGAACGACGGACAGACGGGCGAAAAAGTGGGCATAAGCTAAAAATTACAAGTAAGGAAGCACATAGAGCTTTTGGCGCTCCCCGAAGAATTATTCAACACTTAGGAGGCTCAGGAAAACACTACAAGATACTCTAAGGTCTTCCAGGTAGTTTTCTAGATCTTTTCCCAGAACTATTTAGATACTTTTAGGTTTTTTTAAGACTTTTTGTGTCCCGTCAATGCCTTCGAAGTTTATCCTTTCGAGGATTCTTTAGATTAGATACCAACAAAACACAAAACCTTCCCCATGGACCATGGATATCTCCGATTCATTCTACGCCCACCGAGCTAACCTTATCCATTCTTACATGGATATCTCCGATTGATTCTTTAGATACCTAAGAGCTTTCGGTGGGATTTTCATAGTGTTTTTCTTTATTGAATCGATTTTGGAACCATGCCAAAGATTTCTAAGCTTTTTCCGTGTTTCGCAGCTTTCTGACCCTTTTCGGTGCCTTCTAGGTCCACCTATTTGTAGAACGTGTTCAAACAACTCTCGAAAAATTTACAAAAATCTAAGGTGTTGTAACAAGTGGCCGCTTTAGGCTTTAGGGATTTTTGGCTAAATTCACAGATTTGCCGGCATAGAAAATTTCATATTCGAGAAAACGAAACGCGTTAAGATAAGAACGAGTGTTCAGGCAGATAAGAGTTGAAATATCACAGTGTTTTCGGTTCTAAAAACCGTCGGAGAATGAGGGACAATATTTCTGCTATACCGTCGCATGTATAAAAAACCGAGTGAACGTTTCGGTTTCGTTGGGATCGTTTGTGGACCCGTAAAATGAAATTCCTTCCAGGCCTCTCATTTGAGAGGTTTGCGCCAATTTTGAGATCGCTTAAAATTTAATTGTTAATTAAAAGTTAGAACCAAAAGTCGCATAACTTCAGTATATAAAAGAATCGTTAGTTGCGCAACTGAAGATTGTGCCACCATTTTTGACGAATTTATTGTCGTGGGGACATTATAACGGGTTTACCAATAAGAGCGATAGGATTTTAAATTGAAATAAAACACAGTCAATTTGGTCAAATTTAGGTTTGATTGGTTTTATTAGATGCTGTATTTCATGCCATTTATGATTTAAACAAAATATCGTTCAAATGGCCACCGCGGCTCTTTTTGCACTGGCTCATCCGATCGGACCAATTTTCGATGACTCGGTGGATCATATCGGGTGGAATGGCAGCTATGGTCGCTCGAATGTTGGCCTCGAGCTCGTCAAGAGTCTTGGGTTTATTCGCATAAACCTTTGACTTCACATAGCCCCACAAAAAGAAGTCCAATGGTGTTAAATCGCATGATCTTGGCGGCCAATTGTGGGGGCCATTTTGAGAAATCAACGATTCACCAAACTGTTGACGCAATAAGTCCATTGTAAACTGTTGACGCAATAAGTCCATTGTAGCGTTCGCTGTGTGGCATGTTGTTGGATAATTTCCAAGCGTTGAGGCAACGTGAACTTGTTCATGATGAAATGGCAAGCCTTACTGATGACAACTGACAGCATATGTCAAATGTTTGGCATCCAACATAGCCGCCTTAAACGTTTAAAATCCTATCGTCCCTATTGGTAAACCCTTTACATTCAGTGGGAGCTGTCCTTTCGAACAAAACCAATAATAAAGGGCGTTTTTATGCAACAAGAAAACTTCGTGTTGCGAAAACTAATGGACGGGTGACTTTTCGACAGTAAATGATGCGAAGTGTTATCTCTTAAATAAAGCAGAAGCGAACAAATTCGTTTCGTAGTATTATCAGATTAACGTGCTCTCATTTAAATAAATTGTTACCACGAAAACGTTGAGGTCCAAGGTGCAAAACATTCCATTGCGCTATATTCGAAGTGTAGTTACATTATAAAACCTCTATTATTTATGCGGGGTGTTAGTTGATCTACATTAAACGGCAACTGGTAAAAAAGGTAAAGACAATTAATTTGTGCTTTCTTTGCTGCAAAGCCTTTTCCCGGAAAATTTAGTTTCCATGACAGTGGCAGTAACTGGCTATACTTTTCAATTTTCATATAGAACTCGGCCAGTGATGACAGGAGTCATTATTTATTACAAACGTGGAAAGTCTAATACGCTTCCTCAAAGTAAGAGGGTGTTCCGGTATATACCGCATAACTCTTTCAAAAATCAATCTATGTAAAATGCATCACCAGGAAGTATAGATAAGACGGGGGTTCACAGACGATCCTCTAGATTTACTTCACTTAATTAACGAGGACCCTCGCGTACTTTGCGCAATATTCCAAATAATTTGTTAGAAGGCCTAAAGACGGACTTAAGGGGCGTCGAACCTTCGCTGTACAGCATGCGCCCTTTATACATGCAACTGTCCACAACTTCAAAATTAATGCACCAATTTTTTTTGGAAAAATCAAAACTCGATTGCTTCCGAATGTTTTCCGCCAATTCTTCAAAGAACCTCACGACAATCTAGATATTTCGATAGAAATCATCAGCGAAGAAACTATTGCAGACGTCAAAACACACGTGCCTTTTGAACTTTCCTTGGCCGAAAAAAATATCTGACAGACTGAGAGAGAAAGGAATACCACAATTTATTTTTATTGAATCTTCCGTTGATTGCGTAATGCCCTGGTCTTTTATTAGATCTGAATACCATCAGAAAATTAATAAACTCGTCGATAAATATTTGATTTTTTACTTAGATTCGTTACTCACATAATTAACAGGGGCTGATAGACGTTTGCTTTTCCCTTTTAATTAAGTGGGCGTTTTTAATTTATGTAATGTAATGTTACTTTAAGCCAGAGCATTATTAAACGGGATTAGTGAGAGAAAAAATGCGATACTGTTTAATTTAATTAATATTCACATCTGTTCATAATCACCATAATGTAACACCTCTTGCATGTTCATATACAGTATGTTCAACAGCAACAAATTTATTTATTATTTATAACGATTGAGGATGGCGCCGTTTTGTTGCAGTGCTGTAGTTTGTTATTAACTTAAAATTAGCGAGTGATAAATCACACTGGATGTCTAGTGTAGGAAGTCCTCGAAGGTATCTGCAAGTATTGTTTACTAAGAAATCCGTATGGACCACCACATTCTTACAGCAATTTCTGTTGTGAAATATCTATGACCTTTCAGTCAAAGATTCTTGAATTTGTGGATTTACTAAATCGATGTATTGTGTACAAAGTTTTCTTCGCTTTCTCCCTTGTGGCAGTATATACATTTTTGGGGTGGCCTGGTTTTTAGCAATTTAAATAGAGGAAAAATGTAATTTTGCATGAAGATGACAAGGCCTATCTACTACTACTATTTCCACAGTATAAATCACGGTTAATTCCTTGGTACAGTTGATTCCCCGACGCTGATTGTTATGATAGCCCCACGCAGGGCGCCAATAGTTTAATAGCAGCCCGCTTTAACCGCGACATTTGAATATATTGCATCTACTACACAATTATTTCTTATTAATTGATCAATCTTTTTAGCTGCACCATTATAATCTCTTGGTCTTTTACAGATCCACCCAAACGTGTAATTCCATACGCGATGCCCTGAAGAACATAGTTCGCCATGAGAAATGTTCGTCATGTTTGACACAAGCAAGCTGTACATTTGGCTTAGCTGTTTGGTTTATCTCCAATGTACCATCGGATACGTTGCAGATGACATCACAGGAAACCCCGAGTTCGGTTGTCAATGGTCAGGTGGGAGCATCGACAGCGGCGTGACTTGCATTTGTAGGCCATATGCCCAGGTAAGTTTCAAGTTAAAGCCCATCAGTGAGGCTTCAATGTGGCTATTCTAGGAAATGTTCATTCAGAAAGGATCGATCCCATCATACGACGCGCAGGTGATCAAAATTGACGGCTGCGAGACGGTTCGCTTTGGAAAAGACGCGATTGGTGACATGAGAAATCTGAGACGTTTGGAGCTGGTCAACATCAACTCTCTAAGTTTGGACGACTCCAGCTTGTCGTGGAACACATACATACAACCGAATCCCGACTACCATCAAGTGTGGGACTACAACATACCGACCTTGCGCATCAAAATCGAACGCAGTCTGATAAAGCGCATATCAAGTTACACTTTTCAAGGCCAAATTAGTAGCGTAGTAATGCGGGACGTGGCGATTGAAGAAGTAGCCCCTTTCGCATTCTCCTCCTTGATGTACACGCACAACATCGAATTCGTAAACGCCAACTTTCTAAACGTCCACACCCAAGCGTTTAAAAAATTTCCAACCGAAACCTTAACGCTAAGCGATTCGAGCTTCAATCGATTACCGAGCCGAACGTTCTCCGACGTAACGGTCTTGGACAGTTTCCAAATAAGAAACTGTACCTTCGACGCGATTCAGTCGGGTGCGTTTCTAATTCACAACTGCAAACGTTTCGAGTTGGTCGACTCTTACGTGAACTTACTAGACGGGGAGGGTTTTAAGGTATCGACGCGAGGCAGTGTAAAAATTAAGAATAACTACTTTAACGTCACGGAGAATGGTGCTTTCGCAGGTATCAGCCTAAATCTGGAGGAGGTATTAACGCCCCAGGAAATATGGTTCGATACCGATGTATTTAACAGACTCGATAAACGTTCCTTACACGTGAACACTACAAGCTTCGCGGCTAGGTTTAGTAACATACTAATAAATCAGCAATGTAATTGCGATTTTACGGAGGGCACAAACCACCACGAAGAATTTCAGTGCATACTAGACGATACCAAAAAAGTTACTCTTAAGGAATTTAAAGAAAATAGCTGCTCCGTTCTGGCGAGTTATTCGACTGTTTTTATTATTGTAGGGGTAGTAGTGATTTTATTTATTATTATTTTCTCAGGTTTAGTGTTCTACTTTAAACGCGTGTATAAGAAACGAAAAGAATATATAACGGACAAAAATGGCAAACCAATAAGTGTAATTATGCCGGACGGTCGCACGTATCGTGAGACCGAGTACCACATCGTAGTAGAACGAGCCGATTTATTAACAACAGACTTGTAACATTTTTTTATGGTTTTATGTTAGAATGAAATCTCATTTTTTTTTAAATTAAACTGCACACTAAAGATGCCTGTGATAAGTTCTAATTTCAATTTAGAGTTAAGTGTTAACTTGGTCGAGTGGACCATATAAAAATTGTTTTCATTTATAAAATTGTGATTTAGCAAATAAGTCTCCTACAGGGAGCAATAGTTCAACCTACTTTAAATATTATTAGTATTATGTTTTGCTAGTCACGTAAAAGAAAAGCGTGTCAAAATAAACTACAGCTTTTCATTGGTTGTATTATTTTTTTTTTTTGCAAGCGTCGACGTAGTTTACAATTCGACCAATAGAATCTCATACAGTTAAGGGTAAAGATTCAACATCCAAACAATCAATAATATCCCCTCTCAGCTTATTTTAAATATATTTCTTCATTCGCGTACCCCCCACCCGTGAAGATGCCGGGGTGACCGATGTGATATTTTCCGTATTAATCGACATTATGAATTATTTTTTTAAATGACTCCCAGAGGACTGAGTAGCAACATCGCCATTGATCGAGTTCATTTATAAACCGATTTTTGGTTGATGAGTTGTTAGAAGGAAGATCCATGTAATGGAACTTGGTTAGCCGTGAATATAAAGGAGTGGGCGGAAACAAATTTTTGTATTTATCTACGTAATAGCGTCTTATCGTATGTGAATATCGACAGATTTGCCTCATCCAGACCTGTCATTTTCGCTTTGAGAAAAGAGAAAACTCCTTGTGGATCTCTGAGATGCAGCCGGCTAGTGGAGAAATGTTTGGATAATGGTTACAAGGTAGTGTTTGTTCCCTGTGAACTTTTCTTTACAAATATTGTTCACCATCATTCGTATATTCTATATTTTATAGTAATTGATGGTTCCATTACGCAAAAACTATTTAGTAGTTCACGAGTTCAAAAACTTGCAGGCAATAATGAAGGTATTAAGGAGGTCCCACTCTGTGTAAAATACCGTTCACTTTTATTATTTGAAACCGTTATCATTTTTTGTGGAAATGTTTGCTCAATTTATGGTTATGTTTTGATTACATGGTCTTGGCCCGAAGATTGATATTTTTATGGGCATGTTGTATGTAACTGACACTTTCCGCTGTAAAGTGACAATCCCAAGGATTACAACAGTGTAATCTCATCTTTACGCTAGCAATTCCCGAACAAGGGACCAGTTCTCCGTCTCAGGGTCCAGAAAAAAACCTTCGGTTTTGAATCTATGTGTGATATGAGTTGCAATTTAGTAATTTCCACATATTCCCCAGTTGAATTTGCGTTCGAAGGCGATGTTGCTTTTAACAAAAGGGATTTTATTGCATCAAATATGAACCGTGTGTCATACAGCTACCTTGTTTTGTAACCTGCTTGTATCCCAACCTGTTCCCCTGTTCATTTTTTGCACTTTAGTTAATTTTACGACTATATAATGCGCGATGTTGTTAAATTAAATTTGCCGCTTTCATTATTTCCCCCACCGATCTTGTACTTGTATGACTATGATGCGCACCATGCGCTCGCTCTCTTTTCGCTGCTGTATGTCAACCCACATAATGTACTAATAAAGTACTGCTCTTTTTGTTGTTACGCTGCCTTTATTCACAACCCCAAACTTAACAGATGTCAATTGTGCGGTTTCGGGTTGTTCAAGCTCCAATCGGGAAGTTTAAACTAATGACAGTATTCTATGCATGGATATAATTTTAACAGAAACCAAAATCAACTTACCTTAAAATAATGTGTTGATATCGTATTCTTCGGAGCGAGGACGTGGTGAAGATTGAAGTACACAAATTAAATGTGACTTTGCACATTGCACAATGCGGCAACATACATTGAAAATGCAATTGTAAATTATAAACAATCTGTTAAACAATTTGCAGCTGTACTAATTAATGTCAGTGTCAGTAGTCGGCGAAAAAGATCATATTTGACAGCTAACTTTAAAGGTAGAAGCCGACAGAAGCAGTCACGGGCCAGTTAGTACTGGTAGTTCGAGTAATTTACTTTCATTTTAACTAAATAGTAGATTTAGAGTTAAAACCACGTGGGACAGCTGTATGTACAACCGACGTGTTAAAATAGTAATTAAAATTCCTACCTGTATGGCAGGGTGCCATCAAGAGCTTGATTGACCGACGGAGGGCTACTCAACGCCAATCCCTTTCCAAGTAACGAACCGTGGGAGTTTAACGCATGAGCCGCCACCAATTCCGCAATTTCAACGTCAAGATCGCTTCCATCGCCTGCACAAGTTCACATTTGCCTTTTGCTCAGAATTTCCACAACACTTACTGTCTCCGTTTGGCAATAAAAGATCTTTTTTAATCAGACTCGCTGAGCACATTCCTCCCAAAAACGATAGTTCCGCCTCCAAATGTTTCAGACCGGTCGACGGACCGCAGATTCCGGGGAAGGGCCACTCGTACCCGACTACGAGGCATTTGAATCCGTAAAAGCTGGCCCGTTCGTCTTTGAGATAGTCCGAGGCGGTCTCGAGTGAAAATATTACCTCGTTCCCTGGTAAGATTACCGCCGACTGAGGCCATTGTGTGCTATAACATTGCGGTCAAACCAAATACGCAGGGCAAATCGCTTACCACCCAGTAAATTTGTGCAAAACAGGCCAGTAAGGCAAAGGTGAGCCGTCGTACTCGTCAGACTCGGAGGCTTTTTTAACACCTGCCGCTCCGCCTAGGCTAGGGACGTACAGCTGCAGAGAATCTTCCGGCTGCGCTGTCGAGCACGAGGGATCAAACTCTAACGACATCCACCTTACGGTCTCAGGGAAGGCAACCCTGTAAACACAGCCACTGTGGCTACGCTCATCAAATTGGCAAAGCAACAAACCGATAATTTGAGACAGTGGATGGTTTGTACGGGTGATCACTTTGTATCCATGTATAATGTTGGCTAGTGGTATTGTTAATATCATTGGATTCGAAATGATTTCCTGATCCTCCCGAGCTGCCCAAGTATGGCGGCGGAACTGCAGTGCCAGACAGTAAATTTAGTGCGGCTACATGTGGAAGCATGTCTTGAATTAGGTTTAAAATGTAGACTGCGTTCTGGAAAATTTCGTTACTGGATATTGTTGCGAGCTTTCAGAGCATACCCGAGGATCGCTTGAAGCCAAAGGGCTTATGTGGGCCATAAGTAATGGTAGTAAAGTTGTCACGACGCACGCGCTGCTTAGAATTTCCGTTGCAGAAACATCTTCGGCTTTCTCTCTGGCCATCGCTAGCAGGTTGCAACAACTGCGAATGATTGATGACGTCATAGACAACGCGCCCTTTCGAGCGTGTTGTTCCAATTTTGTACTGGTAACTTTAGCACACTCGACCGGGTTGCTAAACATGGGAATAGAGAGTATGATAGATGCCAATTCAAAAAATTGAAGCTTATGCGCATGCGGGTGAGAGAGCGTTAATCACAAACCTATAGTATAAAATGACCGGTATTTGTCCCCTTGTTAGTGTTGTTCCATTGAAACTCAACGAACAAGTAGAAAAGGTAAATGTAGTGTTATCAGATCCCTTTACCGAATTTAAACCACCATCACCGTTATTAGTTCTACCACCGTGATTTCTTAATCTAATGGCATATTTAACATTTTCCTGTAACGTAAGCAAAATGGATGAACGATAAACGAATCCAAATCGCTACCTTTATATGCACGGCTTTATCGAATTTGATCTCGGCAATGTCCGGAACAAAATCCTCAGGGCCGAACGAGCCACGAGTGATCTCCAAGCTATTCCAACGTTGAGTGTGCGTGTGACTATCCGCGCCGTTCATCGAGCTTTGCTAGAATTAACAAGTTACCAACAGACTGCGCGGCGAAACTCGCATCTTACGTCTTCCAAAAGTTCCAATTCGTATTCGTAATGACCGATTCCTCCGTAGATACCGACGCCCGCAACTGATACGCCGGTTCTGTCCACCTGAAAGCAAATTGCGTCGGGCGAGCCATTACCGGTGTTCCACGTTCTGGATTGGTTGGTTCTTGTAAATCTTGACGGTGTCACGTGCAGAATTCGACCGCACGCACTTTGAAGATCTTCCTGCATTGTGAAACATGTACAAAGTCCATAGAAGATGGAGGCAAACATAATTCATACAATTGAACTTTCCGACTCTCAATCAAACTATGAAATGCAATACTATAATCTAGGATTGTGAAGGTTAATGGCAATGGATACGCGTCTGTGATGACATAAGTTTCTTAATTTGCAGTGGCAAAAGATGCTTGTATTGTTGGAACTGTTTTTACTCTTACTTTCATGGAAGAAATCTTTCATTTTAGTCTTAATCTTAGGAATACAAAAAAAATCATGATCTCCAGTGACTAATGGTAATGGATAGGCGTCTGATTTTGATCAATCCGAATCAAATGAAATAGACGTGTTTTATTGTGAATGTTCGTAAAAATATATGAAATATCATAATCTACAATTTCAGTAGATAATGATAATATTATGAATACAAATGATAATATCAAATGAAATATTAGTCTAAGTTAGTAGAATTTTGACGATGAATGGTGCGGGATAAGCGTCTATCATGGATCCCAATCAACACGGGGATGAAATACAAATCGTTAATGGAAGGTACATTTTATTATAAATCATAATGATAATATGAAAAGCCTTACAATCTAAAATTTGAAAATAATTGAAAATTGATACTTGTCTCTTATGAATTCCAATCAAAATATGGAACCAAAAAAGATTAATGGTAATGGATACGCGTCTCATACTATTAATTTCACTCAAAAGATGAAATGAAACGCCAGAGTCTATAATAATAACCATTAATGGTAAGCGATAAGTATCTTTTATTATGCAAATCAACCAAAACCATCTAAAATTTTTTGAAATGAAATATTACGATCTGCAATTTCGACTATTAATGGCAGTGAATATGCATCTCTTATTATGAATCTACGATGGATAAAACTAACTTACCTCCGTGGAACTACATTGATGTACCAATTCTGCGACAACTCTTGCAAGTAAATGGCAACAGTGCCTTACCAACTTAGCGAAGTATGTTATTCGGTGCCCCAAGAGGACTTGGTTAACCGGCTCAGTTACTAATTTTAAAAGATGATCCAAAACCTCTTTCCAAGTCCAATTTACACTCAGACCGTTCGCTTCCATCTACAAAAAAAGCAGTGCTTACGCGAGTTTTGCCACTAATCGCTCACCTGACTCCGGTAAGTCATCTGCTCGACCAGCACGGGATAATGATGCGAGTCTGTCCCGTTCATGGCCGGCAAGCCTGTATTGTCAGAGGGACTAAGTCCGCGGTTTATCGAGTTTTCTGTACTGGCGCCGTTGGGTAACAAAGGAAACGTGGTTCTTAGTCGCACGCTGGGACTGCATAATGCGCAAAGAACGGCACTTAGAAGCCGTTGACTGTTTGAGCTAGAGTAAGTGTCATTTTCCTACAACGAGAAGATTGTATAAGTATATTCTAATAACTGCGAGCACCTTTTCAATATCGGCGAGTAAATCGCATAAACACGTCCACTTAAGGTATGATGTAGGGTAAAATGCGTGGAAACAGGCGACGAACGTTCCATGGCACTCTTCCAATATGCTATTCATCATTCTAACGTGATAGCTGCCGTTCTTTGTAACCTTCGACTTGCTTGACTTTTTCCCTTGTATGGTCGCGGGTAAAATGTCCGACAAAATTTGTTTCAGCAACGCTCTCACGTCCCCTATGCTTTCCGCCAAGTGTACGTTTTCCAAGGGGGCTTTCTTCGAGATTTGCGACGGGTAGATTTCGTTGGTATAAGTTCGTATCAACCGCAAGCTGGCGCAACTTATATACACCAAGCGCTCCAATTCTAACGTCGTATACATGTGCTGCACGGCCTGTCCGTCCATTATTCCCAACTTGAAGGTATTCCACGACCACTGCAGTAACGACAATAAACTTTGTATGCATTCCTTCGTGACGGTTCGCGAAAAATCCTTGGACAAAATGTGGATCGGCTCGGAAAGGTCGAGTTGGCGACGAGGCGGTTGTATTTCAGCGGTAATCACCTTGTATAGGAGCTGCGGAATCTGGCCGGCGTTTACGTCGGTTCCGTTATTCGACTTTTTGGATGACTTAAAGTAAAACAGCACTTGGTCTTCTGTCGTGACCATAGTTTGACCGGACGAACCGCAGTCGCTACTTGGTCCACTTATTCGGCTCCAAGCGACATACCACCGATGTGCCTACAATACCACAAAAATTTATGTAGTTTAAATTTTGTTTAGCCGGGTTTTAATTTTTTGTTGTTTTTTAACGCATTTTCCAACGAGATTGGGCGCGCTATTGCAGCCACTTTCTCTGTCCGCCCGTCTGTCCGAGGCCTTAACTACTCAGTTTTCAAGATATTTAGTTCGTTCTTTTTGCATTCGGTAGCGTGTCGCTCTGGCACCTGAGTCAAGGAGAATCTTGACGTATGAGCTGCGCATGCGGAGGTTGCGCAATGTTAACTATAATTTGTTGAAATTTTAATCACAGATACTTGTAGTAAAAAGCAAATATATCGCATATAGTAAGAATCAGAAGTGCGCATGTGCACACTGCGCAATGCGAACTTTCTTATTTATGGAGATATTTCTTTGAAATTTTAACCAAAGATGCTTATAGCAAAGAGTAACGATAATAATAAGAGATTCAACGGCATAGAGAATAGTGTTGCATATGTATTGTGTGTTGCCTAACAAATTTTACTGCTTTTTCTCAATTTTATTGGCGTACGCTATTTCAAGGCAACTACTTGTTTAGAAGTTTATAAATATCATTGCAGAAATCCCAGCGTTGCCAAATGTTTAGTGTTTGCTTGTACTTATTTAGGTATCTATTATTCCTTGAAATGTATGACGTTTAGAGATATGTTATTCCATTCTACGCTTATAGCACAATTTATTAAAGTCCGAACGCTTGTTGGTTTGATTCATAGGTGCGAAGATAGAGGAAGTAGATATTTACTTCCGACTTGAACGGAAATAAACGAACATTTTTTTTTTAAAAAAAAAGGCCAATAGACGTTTTATAGCATTTATTGTACAAATAATAAGATAATGAAAGATTCCCGGAAAAAATGTTGCAACCACTTTTTAATTTTTGCCGGCCTATAAACAATGTAATAAATCCAAAATAAACTGCCTCAATTGCATTATAGTTGTGATCGAATGGTTCAAATTAAAAATGTGAACTGTGGACCAACGCAACCCCTGACGCAACCCCACCTCTTTAAAAATGGTTTCTTTGCGATAACTGAAAAACTACTTGACCGATTTGGACCATATTTTTTACCAGTCGATGTGACTAATGTCCCCTTTAATCTCATTACATTACAGTCCGATCGACCCACGCATTCCGGAGATATTTAAACGCTCCAGAAACCCTATATTTGGAGTGGAAGCCAATGTTGTTTTCAAAAATGAGAACGATTATCAATCGTTTAGATGGATGAATCACGAGCAGAGTGCGCGGTGGCTCAAGTTGAGCGGCAAATTTAAATACATATACTTATGTGTTTTTTCCGCTACTAGCCAATGGTGATTCCTGATGTTTTTTTTCTGAGGACATAAGGATTGTTGCATTGTAATGATTGATTGTTAATGATTAAACATCTCAGCGTATGTAGGCATCTATACAAAATTAAAGCAAACAAAATTTCCTGTAAAATAATCGCTATGCACATCATAAAATCCAATTTTATGAAATATGTTGTCTACTTTAATTTGACTGTAGTAGATGATCTAAAAAGGATGAATAACAAATTTAATTTACATTTTTACAATTGTGCCTGTTATTGGTTATTAAATTAAATAGTAATTACTGTCTATTCAATAGACGCCAACTAAACAGGAAAATACCAATGTAATTAACAATATAGGTACTGAATCGTTGCTGATTTCTTTTATACTTAAGTAATGTTTTCTAATTATATCATGTCCACATTTAATACGCCAATAAGAAAGAAAATTAAATGTGACAACCGCGCAAATATTTTAAACCGAAATTCTATAAAGAAGTCTGTAAATTTTCAATACGCGCCAATATTTTAAAGAGGCGGTTTGTTCTGGCCACCTCTACGCGAGGGCCCGCTTTTGGAATCCTAGCGGGCGAGTTCTTATAGCCAACACGCGTTTATACCATTGCGCTGTATCTCTTATTATGGGTACTCTTTGCTTATAGTAAAAGCAAACGTATTGCTTATTGTAAATATCAGATTAATAAGCGCATGCGCAGGACGCACAATATCAACTGCGCAGTAAGTGTCAACTTCCTTATTTATGAAGATATTTCTTTAAAATGTTAACCATATATGCCTCTAGTAATGAAAAACATAGCGCACATAGGTATGGCCTTTGGGGAAGTATTGATCAATTTATGGAAAATGCGCTGAAGTTACTCGCCTTAGGGCGAAAACCTTTCTACTTGTTAATAATAGAATTAGGAAGTGGAATGGAAGAGAGAAAAATGTGATAAATGTAAGAGGAAGTGTTCGAAACGACGCGGGTTGCTTTTTGCCTGTTGCAGGTCATCTTATGTCGTTCGCCCGGGCTTCTTGCCCTGAGTGTGAAGCCCTGGCCGCCGCGTTTTGGCGGTTCAACCTTACCTGTAATGGAACGGGATCCTCAAACATCATCGGATATTTCTGTCGAGGACCACACTCATAAGGAATTTCGTCCGTTTCCGCCAATAATTCTCCGTCATTCTCTTGTTCGCCTCCATCCGGGCCGATATCCAACAGTTTGATTTTACCCGTATACTCCCCTCTGCCGCCGAACAAACCAAAGCCTCCTATAACACACCCTTCAGTTTAAGCCCAATCGGTATACTACAACCTAAAAGCACATCCGTATCTGCCATAAACCTTATCGCTTCAATGCTATGACCGGAATAGCCCCACCCACCTCCGTGACTCTCAAATCGATTAACACATTGGAAATCTTCTCTGGTAAATTGTTTACCGGCGACCAATCGCCGATCGTCGACATCGTCTTTGATTGCGGTCATTTGCAAATTATGCGCTATTGTCAGCGTGTCCAGACAGCACAACAAGTTAATGGCAGCTTGTAGTCTCGTCACATGGCAATTGGAAACAACTGGCAGCGCCAATTCTGCGCTTAAAACAGCGGACAAATTAAATCCGGGAAGATCGATCTCGTCTTTGGTCGTATTCGCGACCGAAAACATCTTAATATCGGACAATAACTTCTTATCGCTCGTTTCTATGATACTCTTCGTTCTCAAATCGGATGCAATGATATTGTAGCACGTAACGTCGTGGTTTGTCGCATTGTAAGTCCACAGAATATTGTAAACGGAATCCATGCAAATAGTTTTGTTATAGAAATCCACTTGGTTTTTACTTTTGAACGAATTACAATTTCCCTCGCGCTTATTTATGATTAAGCTTCGAAAGCTGTTCGCGTTGTCAAGTTGATTGGGCAGCAAAACTACAAGTGGAACCTGCATAAGATGTGGCAAAAAGGCGGATCGGTCTTACTGATGTAGTTCCTATTTGCGGTAACCGTAGATTTCGCCAAACTAACGGAATTAATCAAGCTCTCGTCGATTTTTAAAAATGTCTGGTCGCCCGATGCGCCCACCCACGTCGCTCGGCGCCCATGTTTCGGCCCAATATTCGGTATCAAGCCAGGGGTTGCGAACCATCGAGGGTCTCGATATTTGGATGAGTTACTTTGACCCACTTGCGCGTCTGGAGGCGAAGACGCGGTGGCAATACGTCCCAGTTGTCCTTTCTGCAATAGATCTAGATTGAGGGGGGGAAGATAAAATTTGGGGAGCGGACCTGGTAATTGCCGAAGGTGTACACTTCGCCTTTGCCGGTTAGTACTACCGTGTGGTTGCTGCCAGCTGCTATATGTACAATGCTACAAGGTAATTTTACTAATTGAATGGAGGATTTCGGTGCGATATCGCCGCAACCGAGCTGCCCATATTGGTTGGATCCGAAACTATAAACCTGTACAAAGGTTAAGGTTAAACACAGAATAGGTTCCACGCACCTGTCCGTTCTGCAGTAGAAGTACCGTGTGATGCAAACCGCACGCGATTTGAGTAATCGGGCTATCACAAGGCAACTGTATTTTGGCGGGAGGAAGGCAGGCAATTCGAGTGGTATCTCGTTCTACGTCTGAACCCATAGTTTCTTTTCCTACGGAATGTTTAACTAATCCTGGTTTGAACCTACTTAATCAAATCCGCGCGCGTTCCTACCGTTTTTATTTAGACTCACTTACCTAATGGGTTACCATGCTTTGGTGAATTACTTGCGCGATGCACTGGTGTGCTAGGCACTATTGCAGGTGACGATCGCACGCTTTTCAATTTTGCCGTAACTTGCTTGCTCGATCCCGCCACCGAGATCGATTTTCTCGCTCTACTTTTACGTTCTTCGAGGCGACTCTGCAACTAATTGGTCCATAGCATCGACTTAGTATAGTTTTCTGACCAACCTGCTCTTGTAACTTGGTTCGTTGTCTCGGTGGAACAAACTCTTTGACCTTATCACGAAAGATTAGATCAAGTCGCATCATTCCCGAAAGATCAGCTGCACCATCAGGACCGAGAATCGCCAACTGACGATTGTCGACGGTGTCGCGAGCGCATAGTCGACAACAACCGCACATCGCGCATCCACTGTCCCCCTCTCCACACCCGCATTCTCTGCAAGTAGCGATAATATGGGGGAAAACTAGACGCGAGTAAACGTACTGTCCGGGTTTGCGATCGGGTCTCATGGACGATAAACAGCTGATCGAGTATCCCGTACATTCCTGACATACAGTGCAAACCATACACATATCGTGATGCCACTGATGACTGCCAGGGGGGCACATATGATCTCTACCAATAGACTCGACGTTTCCATCCGAACTCCCAGGAACGTTTTCAATTTCCTCTCGATTTGCAATTTCTTCTAAATCATCAAACATATCTTGCTCGTCGTGACTTGCGCCACCCGTTTCCATTGCAACAACCGTTGGAGCTGATTCTACGCACTCACTTTAATACCTCCACTCTGCCACTTGGCCCCTTACCTTCTTTGTTAAAAGGCATAAAATCCCGTCCACACTGATACTTGTTGTTTATTCCAAAAGTAAAGACCTGACCTTTCGTGGTCAATGCCACAGCATGTGCCTTACCCAAAGCTACCTGTACGATAAACTCCCCTTTCAAATTGCAAACCAAACCTGTTGTGTGATCAGCGTGGGTGGTATCTTTACCAAACATTAACAATTCTCCATCACGAGTAACTAAAGCGGTAGAGCCGTTATTACAAGCTGCATTAACAATGAACTGCCCATCTACTTTAATCATTTTTTTCGGTTTCGTCGGTTTAGGCTGACGTCTCATTTTATTCTGATCACCATCTTCACCACGTCGTGCAGTTCCTTTAAATAAAATATCAGAAAAATTTATCAGAAATATCATTAACGAATAGGAACGGATACGCATCGTGCTTTGTGGATTACCTGCAAAGAACACTGATCCATCTTCCGTCAGGAGAATCGAGTGTAATCCGTCATGTCCCATAGCAACGTGAGTAATTTTGGGCGTCTTCGTTAAAACCAGCTCGGTCCACTTACCGGTGCGTACACCCACTTGTTTAACACCAAGCGACGCTGCTTTCCCGCAATAAAAAACCTAGAATGGGTAATCTAAAATGTGGAGAAATAAAGCCTCCATTTACCTTTCCAGAAGTTGTTCTTAAAAGACCAAACTCTTTTCCCCCACACACCGTAGCAACCTCCTCCTCGTTACCGACGTTTACTGTGTGAGAAACAATATCGCTCTCATACGACGCGATACCCAAAGCGTCAACGCATTTGCGCGCCAATTTCAAGGGTAACTCGGTTATTAAAGATGCCGGCACAGTCTTGTGATTCAACATTCGCACCACAAATCCATCCTGCAATGACACTTCAAAATCTAAAGCACAAATTAAGCTAGAAGTATACATCTTTAGTCGGAGATATAGTGCCTAAAAGCTCGCCGTCTGAAAACACAACTGAAGTTGCAGCGTCTCGGCTAGAAACCGGCAAAGAGCCCGAAATGAGAAGACCCTGTCGTTCTATTATCAAAAACTCCCCACCTCTTCGTCCGATTAGTTTTAAGTAGAGGTTATTCTAAAAAAAGTAGCAATAATGTAATGCGCGCTTTGAAATTTTGCTTACGTCGCAATAGACTAGACTGCCCTTATCATTTGGATAAAAATCGGGTTTCCAAATGTACACGTGGCCTTTTAACGTGCCACCATATCCAGATCCAATTTTGAAAAGTCCCCTTGAGGAAAACAGGTATAGATATTGTCCGTCTGTAGCTAGCGATTTAAGCGTGAGTGGGACGTTTTGAACGTCGGACGGCATTCGTACTTGAAACGAGTCGATTTTGGAGGTGTGGGGCACACCGTGCGTGATCCAATCTGGTCGAATTGTTTTTCCCAGTAATATTCCATGGATACTTCGTTGAAGTGCTGTTAGGACTCCAGGCATCTACGAATATAGAGATAAGTTGTATTCTTAATATTAACCAACAGTCTATACAATTTAGTTAGGTATAGATTATGTACAAAGCACTGAAATTAGAACTTTCGCCCCTCTCCGCCAAACCGTCAAGTAGAGCCAGTTACAACCGAAATTGCAGGTACAGATTATAATATTAACAATACCAAGCCCGGTTGACCTGACCTTTTTGCCTTGCACCTGGTCAAATTATCCTATAGTCTGTGCATCAAAAATTTGATTCGTGGCTGTTTGAGCTGTTCCCGCTAGCGTGCTGCTTTTTAGAACCCGCACGTTATAGTAAAGTAGAGCTTAAAAGCTTTTGGGTAAAATGGCGCATGCGCAGGTGTGGTGGTGGTATCTGTGATAGCCACAGCAATTTTCTCTTCGGTATATGGAATGCCGCAGAGGGGAACAAGACTAATATTGACAGCTACTGGTCAGCACGATTACCCTTGGGCTTAACTTGTTGTTTACAAGGCAAAAAACGTCGCTTTTTATCGATCCAGGAGCACATAATAATAATAATAATGTAATAAATTTTAGATGTGGAATTGGTTATGGTATATTACCTTAATCTTATCATTCTTATTCACCGCACGGAAAAATTCAAAAGGATTGGGCAAACTCGTTCGCTAACCTGAGAAAAAGGCCAACTTTTACGTAAGGTCGTTTGAATGAAGTATAGTAAAAAGTGTTTTATTGTTCGGTAATTACAAAGATGCTTAATGAGGTATTAATAAAAATTAAAACTTGTAAAATTTGTTGGAAATTTGTGCGCTAAAACCCTAAACAAAATAAGCTTGTTGTGATATCCGCGTTGCACCTAAGGCTGATGAAATTGGTGAACATGTAGTACCTAATACGTTGATACATATTCCGCCACAGGAGACTTGCACCACCAGAGATAAATTAAAATTTAACTACTCGTTTAGGCAGTGCTAAAAACAATTAAAAGAGATAAACTTGTAACAGAAGTGATAGTGCAAACGTATTCAGTGAGGGGGAAAATCACTGTAGTATATTTTGGTGTATTTTGTAGAATTTCTCTAGAATTGTATAGAATTTTTTAGAACTTTAGAATTTTAGTGTACACAAGCTTTGAAGTGGTTTGCCTCGACTCATTGTAGAATTTTGGTGTGCACTACTAGCACTATGTAAAATTTTATAAAACTTTTTTAAACGTTTCTAAAATTTTCTAGAATTTATAGACATTTTAGAATTTTTTTAGATTTCTTGAATTTTCAAGAAATTTTTAGAATTTTTTTCCGAACACACAGGCACACACAATTATTTCATACAATTTTGAGAATTTTTTAGATTTTTTTAGAATTTTTTGAATTCCTTAGAATTCCTTTTAGAATTTTGGTGTGCACTACTAGCACTGTGTAGAAGTTTATAAAACTGTTTAAAACGTTTATAAAATTTTCCAGAATTTATAGATATTTTAGAATTTTTTTAGATTTCTTGAATTTTCAAGAAATTTTTAGAATCCTTAGAATTCCTTTTAGAATTTTGGTGTGCACTACTAGCACTGTGTAGAATTTTATAAAACGTTTATAAATTTTTCTAGAATTTTTTTAAGAATATAGATATTTTAGAATTTTTTTAGATTTCTTGAATTTTCAAGAAATTTTTAGAATTTTTTTCCGAACACACTTGCACAGACAATTATTTCATACAATTTTGAGAACTTTTTGGATTTTTTTTAGAATTTTTTGAATTCCTTAGAATTCCTTTTAGAATTTTGGTGTGCACTACTAGCACTGTGTAGAAGTTTATAAAACTGTTTAAAATGTTCCTAAAATTTTCTAGAATTTATAGATATTTTAGAATTTTTTTAGATTTCTGGAATTTTCAAGAAATGTTTAGAATTTTTTTCCGAACACACATGCACACACAATTATTTTATACAATTTTGAGCATTTTTTTGTATTTTTTAGAATTTTTTGAATTCCTTCGAATTCCTTTTAGAATTTTGGTGTGCACTACTAGCACTGTGTAGAATTTTATAAAACTTTTTAAAGTGTTTATAAATTTTTCTAGAATTTTTTTAGAATATACAGAAATTTTAGAATCTTTTTGGATTAATTGAATTTTCCTGAAATTTTGAGAATTTTTTCCGAACAGACATGCACACACAATTATTTCATACAATTTTGAGAATTTTTTAGAATTTTTTGAATTCCATATTTCATATTTATTTATTTCCCGTTCAGATTACATTAGTAATATAGGGTCGTCAGGAGGGTAAATCGTATACAAACAATAATTAGTGACAAACGTAACATACATACAGTGTGTCCTCGGATGGACTGAACAAGAGGGAAAAAAATTTTAATTTTAACTTTACGCAAAAATGTCATTCTTTATAAAAATGTTTGCTTGCCTCAAAACCACCTATTCTGAAATAAAAATCTAGATATTCCTTTTAGCAGCTGAGAAAATTACAAAAAACGCAAAATCTACAGCGGAAATTTTGCTAAGTTGCATGTTTTTGATTAAATCAGACTATCATTGTATCTTCCATGGCAAAAAATCATGGAAGCGATAAATTCTGTCAATGAAGGTACGATCCACAATGTTTATAAAGAATTAGTATGTAGAGCTGAAAAGTGTGTAGAGGTTAGAGGATATCACACTGAATAAAATAAAATGTTTCTCTTAAGCTCTAAGGTGTCTTTTTTTAACTTGATTTGCTTTTCAGGTTGCCATGGAAGATACAATGATAGTCTGATTTAATCAAAAACATGCAACTTAGCAAAATTTCCGCTGTAGATTTTGCGTTTTTTGTAATTTTCTCAGCTGCTAAAAGGAATATCTAGATTTTTATTTCAGAATAGGTGGTTTTGAGGCAAGCAAACATTTTTATAAAGAATGACATTTTTGCGTAAAGTTAAAATTAAAAATTTTTTCCCTCTTGCTCAGTCCATCCGGGGACACACTGTATATATAAGTATACAAAACATTTAAACACATTACTTAGAATTCCTTTTAGAATTTTAGTGTGCACTACTAGCACTGTGTAGAATTTTATAAAAAATTTTAAAACGTTTCTAAAATTTTCTAGAATTTTGTTTAGAATCTATAGATATTTTAGAATTGTTTTAGATTTCTTGAATTTTCAAGACATTTTTAAATTTTTTTTCCAAACAGACATGCACAGAATTTTTTTGAATTTTTTTAGAATTTTTATAATTCCTTAGAATTTCTTTTAGAATTTTGGTGTGCATAACATTTTAAAGTGGTTTACCCTCAGATAACAAACAGGCCCAGGTGCATAAATATTGCACCAAAACAAATAGTTACTTTTCCTTTTTGTTTACTTTAGGTATTATTGTACATAAGTTGATAAGAGCATTGAATTTAGATAGTTATAAATTCAATGATAAGAGTATCAGATACTGTTGATTAATTGACAAAACCACATTGCACCTCGCATTGCACCAAATGATCTTAATCGTTTGTTTTGGCCATACCTGACTGGGCTCTTGTTCTCACCCCGAGTGGTGAGTAATTGGTGGTAATTTACCCTGAAAATTACATACCCACGACTGCACTGCCCCCTATGTGTGAACACTCATTTTGCATTGAAAGCATAGGTCTAATTAATATGGCAGTCCACCATACTGTATTGTCTAAGTTATATAATGTGACTCAAACCTGTCACTATACATGGGAAAGCACTCACACCAACTGACCAACCCTAGAGAAAAATCTCTGTATTGGAGTACCGCAATAGTCACTATATTAGGGAGAACAGTGGGGGAAGTTTGAAATACCTACAGGTATTATTTTATGTAATATTATCAGAAAGAAATTGTCTAAACATTAAGTATATAAGCTGCAAAACGGTAGCACACAGGACCAACAACAACTTTTACCATTAGCAGAATGGATTTGGATCTCTTAACAAATATGCACGCCCACGCCATCTAGTACTTATCTTAGAAACTACTAGGTAACAAAATTTTCGTTGAATTTTCTTGGAGACTACTTCTCAAATTACAACTAAATGGTTAATGTTACGAAACACATAGGTAAATATGATTAAAACACATTACCATTACCTGAATATTCTGCATTGCAAGAGCTCTCGGGCACATAAGTAAAGCAGCCGTAGCAGACAGGTATTTCCCCGTATCGCCCCTAACCACGACCAAAGACAACAAGCAAGCACAAGCAATTGCAGTTAAGTGTGTCCCGTCGTTAGCAACCGAACTCTCCGGCCCGTGTAAAGTTGCCAAATCGAGCAGTAGCTCGAACAACGAATCGATCACATCCGACGGCTCGGCTTTTAAACCTTCCGGCATCTGCCCTTGCAAGACGTCCAAAAGCGCCGACAAAGCTTTCGTGCACAGTCCCGGATGACTAGTCCTACTCTCCTTGATTAATTCGAACACGGAACGTAAGCCGAGCCCGACAATCTTCGAGACACGTACGGGGATGTAAGTCGAACTACTCTGAGAGTTATCTTCGGTATCTGTGTCAATTTCGCTCTGATCTTGCACCGGGTTACTGCAGCTGCTCTGCAAATACTCCTGACTGGCCTGTCGCATCCAACGCTCCAATACGGCGAGTCGAACGGATGCAAACATCGCGAACGCAGAAGCGTTGCCAGGTAGTTCGAGTTCGGGTGGTATTTGGGACTCATAGTCGGTCATTAGGTCTAACTTATTCTTCTGCCGATACTTTATTTTGACACACTTGCGTTTGGACTTTTTCCACTCCTGCTTTCTACTGCAATTGAAGGTTAGAATTTGATTGCACTTTCTGAGGCTTACCGTTGACTGTCGGGCAAAATTCGGTACATTTCATGGAAAAGCGTACCGAAATCTTCCGGTTCGGGCAACATGTTTATTGTATCTTTAGTTAGAAACATTTTTACGTAGGGGAGAACGTACACATAAATAGTCAACTTGAATATTGATTTTTCAAGAGATGATTCACCCTTGGCGATGTAGCGGTTTTATATACGAATTTGTAATGTCAAAGCTACGTATTCTAGTGGAAGTGATAGGTCAAAATAAATAAATTAGGGCTCAACTGTGTAATTGTGTAAAAAAACCGGGAAAATGTTTAACTGTGTCCAAGGTTTAAGCCATAGACCAACAACAGTTGTGGTTTGAAATGTTAGCCAATGGAATTTGTTGCTTTCCCACCATTATAATTTAATTCAAAATTCAAGGTTTTTGGCGGTTTTTAGAATGTTGGAACTATAGTTTGACAGGAATCTCAATAGTCGCAGTAGATTCGACTTAAAAATCGATATCATTCAATCGAAATAATTAGCGTAATTTGGTGAAGTGATCAATAGGTATAGATCAATGAATATTTCACTCAACGCTATAGAGGTATATATAATTCTTTGAGAAATATATATAGTGTACCTATAACAGGGACCTCTTAAAAAACCTAGGTATAACATATATTACTCAAAGTTCAATTGAGAGGGTGGGGTGTGAGCCCCTTTTTGAAATTTATTGCTCGAATGTTGCAAATTACTGAGAATATTCTTACAATTGCCTTAGCGTAGGTACATAAATATATGCATAAACTACATTACTATTTCTCTATCCAGAGGCGCACTCAGAAAAAAATTCGGTGGGGGTTATTAAAATTATAATAAAACCAAAATGTAAACATAAATTATATTATTAATAAACAAAAGATTACACAGTGTTACACCTGGCCCGAGAATCAATTGTAATGTATTTAATCTGTGGTAATATGGACCATGATTCAGGATCATGGCTGCAAAAAAAGAGCCACCACGAATGAATCAAAATGCAAAATTTCAAAACATAGTGACTAATAGACTCCCACGCCCACTCAAAAATAAGGGCAAAAATAAATAAAATAAATAAATAAATAGTGGCAGGTACGTCTTAAAGGAATTAAATAAATCGTTCGCATTCCGCAAAGCGTATTTTTTTGAATGTGCTGATCGACAGATTGTAAAAGGATTAAATATTTTTGGTAAATAAGTGGTTAAGACCTAAATAAGATTTTTTGTTGGAGCATTCGTGAATTGGCTTTAATTTCCACTAAAAGCGAATGGCTAATAATTCACAAAGACTATGGCAAGTCTCTGTGGATTCGTCATTCGCTTTTAGTGGAAATTAGCTTAGCAAGTTGCGATTGGGAGCGTTTCAATTGTGTCTAGCAAAATTCTTTAACAAAAGTCTCGTCATGCACCATACATATTTAAATAACATTATTTTCAAGTTTATCAAAAAAATCAATTAGTGCTTAATTTCGAGGGGTGTTTTAATCCCCAAAAACCTTCCTATGGGTGCGCCACTGTCTCTATTTATTTATATTCGCAGGCGAGCAACTATGAGTTCAGAGCCGTTTCTCTTATAGGTCCTTGTTTAGTCCAAGTTGCTTCACCCCAATCTTCACCCTTTCGTTCTAGATAACTGTCAAAAGGAGCTGATGTTTGTCTCAAATCATCAAGCTTACGAAAATACTATGCGATCAAAAATGAGTTGCTGTCGCTGTCGAGTCACCTTTGGAATTTTTGTTTACATGGTAAATCGTACCTAACTTGAACTTCCAAAGGCGACTCGACAGTAACTCATTTTTGATAGCCCGTACTATCTCGCGAAATAGAAGAATTGGAATAACGCGGTTTAGATACTATGATAGGGGTACGTGGGGTATTTATAACCAACCTATTATCAAAGAGTTATTATAATTATTATCACGGCGAGTGCATCACACTCTTAACCGCCCCCACCCCAACTCTCTTACTTCACCTCATTAAATTAAAAGCCTCCTTTGATTTTTTCCTCTGGAACTACCTATTTGAAAATGTTCCACATGCCTATATAGACATGCAGTGACTTTTTGGTTTATTCGTTAAATGTGCCCTTTTATACAGGTCAGACGAGAGTCAACCACTTCACCGACTAGGTCTTCCTCGAAGAGTGCGGTGTCTTTTTCTAATCGTGTTTCTGTCTTTTCCAGGTTAACGGAAAGGCTATGGCTACTGCATCACCCATCCACCTGTCCAAGAGCTCTACTCTGCAGTCTGCATGAGCTCTTTTAGGGTATTGATGGCAAACATTACTTTACAATAATTTGGTGCGGTTTTATATTTTTCCTGTATGCGCTTATCTTCGAAGACTGCTCCATATAATAATGAATCTTATAATGAATGCAGTATAGGCAATTATATGCCTTTATATTGTTTATTAGCAATTTATATATTCACGAGGAAGTGTGCTGCTGCTCTGTATGCTTCGATTTAAATGTTCCTTGGAGAGGAGCACCGCGTGTGCAGTTTGTTTTTCAACTGCATATGTTTGCTGCTTTATCTCGTGGTCCGCTGGCGGACTGCGCGTAAGCTATACGAGAAGGGGCTCTCTAATTTGATGTTAGTCTGTATGAATTGTTTAATATTATATACCGGGACGGGAGTATAGCAGATACAGTTCGATGATTCGCTATATGCTGCTATCTTTCCCCGTGGGCCGCTTTCGGATGGTACGTAAATTATATGAGATTAGCATGTGCGATAATTAGACTTTAACATGAATACTAATCATTGAGTTAGAAAACTAATGGAGGGAATCAAATGCTTGGCCAGACGTAGACCACGGGAACCAAAAGTGGCCTCTAACTGTGATTAAAGTACCACACCACTTCCGTTATCATTAGCGTCTCACTTCAGTGGCGTAGAGATATAATTTTCTTTCCACTAATAGGAATAATAACAAAAAAAAACGTATAGGAGTAAAATACATGCTCGTGGTAAAGTAAACAAAATAGACAAGGATGGGAAAGTATGCAGATTTAATATAATCATTGATTACAAATCTAAATATACATCGATGTGTTCCATTAGTATAATTAAGGCCAGTTTACTATAGCCACTACAACTTGACAACTCCCATTAAATTCACTGTGTTGATCAATAGCTACAATTGATTGGTTGGTCTCAGGTTCATTACAAGTTTTGATAGTACCTACTGCATATGTGACGAGATATTTGATGAACATTTTCCGGTGCAACCTTTGGTCGGACACAGTCGTTGTGAGCACAAAAGTAAATTTCGAGAGCTGTTCTTGAGATATATTTACAAATGTTAGGTAACCATTTTGCTCGAAGTACTGGTTCATTTGGAAAACTAAGAAACATAAACAAGGTACCTACAACCTCTCCTACAACATGACAAATGACATGTCTTACCGATGAAAGGAAATGCCCTGTTTCTTCCCTTTATGAGAAATTTTGCATGATACGCAGCTAATCATTCTCAATTCACAAAATTGCGTGTGATAAAAACACTATGCGGCAGTTAGTTATTTATATAAACCAGAGCACAAACCGATCCGAAATTATTAGGTACTTTAAAATGGCAAATTTAATAAAATTTGAATTTGGTGGAAAACTGACAGTGACAGGACCCGCGTTTTCATGTGTCAAATAATGTCGGCCAAAATGTACCTTCACGGGAACCTATCCACGCGAAATGCCATCCATCATAAGTCGAATTGCTACCGAGATTCAGAATTGCCGCGAAATGCTCGTCGTATAGTTTTTCCCCTAGGGTTGCCAACTGTAGGTAAGTAGGTACATATGTCAAGTAAGTCAAGAAAGCAATGTCGGCTAACCCCTAAGATGATTACAAGCTTTCCATATGTGACTTCCCATAATATGCATTCTTCACACACACAGCATCATGTCTCAGAATAATGTTTGATACACGTCATACATGATACATCTATAGCACAGATCTAAGAGTGTTTAAATCTGTGATCTATAGGTACCAAATATACCTATCTTGGTACTACTCACATTTCTAAGTGCCTTCTTTACACTGACGTTTAGCCTCCACCACTACATCTCCTGTCCCAAAATGCTGCAATAATGGATCCGCTTGCCGTTGTTATGCTGTGGTTTAGATTAAACTTGTGATAGAGTGAAGATATCACTCCTGATGAGTGGCTGTTTTATTCACAAAATAGTGATAGTGTCGATATCATTTGCTTCACGGACGCACCATTACTTGAGCTTGTTACTTTAAGTTGACTAGCTTATAGGTGACCTTCCACATCTTTAATCTACTTCTTGCAGTTTCGAAATCTGTCTAGCACAATAGTTGCAAATCAGCTTTTCAATTTATCAACTACCTACTTCTACCAATTCACTGATGGCACTACCCAACCCAACGAATTCCAAAAGGTACCTATTTGCCCCACTGTAGGTACTAACAATTGTTCTGCATTCCTTACTGCAACTAAATTTTTGCGCGAATTGTGGCTTATAGACCCATATAATGCAGATGTTGAGACTTCAATTAACAAAATAGTCAAAATCTCAAAGTACCTTGGCTAATGACTGTAGTAGATTGAAGGTGTCAGAGCAGAATCCTCGACAAGCCACAGTGATTTGGATAATGAAGGGTCAGCACAAGTCAAGGAAAACAAAAAATTCAAGCAACATAATTAAGCTACTTTTTCCAAAGCCAGTGCTAATGAAGTGAAGTGATATTTGTTTTGCAGTGTAAGCTACCTACACATTTTTAGCTTTTGTTCTTAAGAAGCAAAAAATAACATTTAGCTGCAGAAAAAATTTGCTTATTATATTAAAACCAACTATACAGACATAATAAACTTTTATTTACATAAATCAATTCAGGTATAACAAACAATTATCATGTTAGCTTAGAATAAGTCTATTGGTGCAGTGCACCTAATTCTGCTTAGTTACGAGGTCTCTGCGAGTATCTTGTCTCCTTTAGCGACATACTGATGAAGCTCAAATAACGATAGAAATGTGTAGTCGACGTTTCCATACTGATTCTTTGTATCAATGAGAGCTGCATTCCATCCGGCGTTTCTGGCACCTTCATAATCTAACAAATATGAATCTCCAACATGAAGACATTCATCTGAAGATAACGACTTGATATTAGAACATTTCATTGCTGCTTCGAAAATTTCAGAATGTGGTTTCTCAACTCCAACATTGTACGAAGATACGATAAATTTAAAATAATGTCTAAGATGTGCATTTTCTAGAGTCTCGTCTAAACGAGGATCAAAGTTCGATATGACACCTAAAGTAAAACCTTTATGTTTCAAGTACGACAGTAAATCCAGAGCGCCTTTGCAATGCTTCCAGCACATAAAAGTCTTATAGTCATTTATTAAATTGGCTGAAATAGTGTCTAGCTTCTGGAAATCAATCGTCGGGTCGGATTGCTTAAACGTTTTTGTTATCAACTCTTTCCACCACCTTTCCCAGCCTAGGCCAGTCGTTAGTCCGTAGTTCGGGTGAGTCTTGGTCATGTCTTTGAAGTGGGTTCGGAAATTTTTGGACAGCTCGATGCCATCGCATTTAATATCATACTTAGTTGCAATGTCTGCATAATATTGACCAGGCGCCTTTCGGAAGGAGAGAAGCGTGTCAGTGATGTCGAAAGTGATCAACTTTAATTTGTGAATATGCCGCATTGGGGAGATTTTCTGTAACTAAGATATTGCTAATTAAATGAAGTGATCAGGCCAAGAACTTACATAAATATCAGATCATTTTAAATAACTTAAAGAAGCAGCTGATGAAAATGAGTCATTGAGGTTACCCAACTGTCATCTCCATTGTTTGTTTATTTGTTATTGTTTACGTTAAGATTTGACAAATCAAAGGTCAAAGAAGGACGACCTTGTATAAAGTCATGTTTACAAGAGCAAGCTGTTCGGAATGCTAAAGGAAAATGTACACGGTATATTGAGCTGAGCTATAGTTCGTTTCACCAATAATTTAACATTTCTCATTAGGTCATTAAGTAGCGGGAATTCCCACTCAGACATTTAAAACAATAGCACAATAGCCCCTATTTAACTAAAACTCAGCGGTTCTCAATAAAATTTTATTGTTTCAAACGCCAAATTGTAATTGGGGAAACTACTTGGAATGTGTCTACCTATTTAATTAATACCACGGTTATTGTCCTTAATGTCCTATCCATGCATTCCTTAAGGAACTACATTTTAAATATATCGATTATTAAGGAAATGGGCCGATTTATACGAGCGCACTACAATTTGGCGTTTGCAACATTAAATTTTTAGTTAAATGGGGGCTATTGTCCTATTGTTTTAAATGTCGCAGTGGGAATTCCCGCTACTTAACGACCTAATGAGTAATGTTCAATTATTGGAGAAACGAACTATATACAATATTTTTCTCCAGTGAGAAATAGATTTCTGAACTGCATCCTGAATCAATTCTGTGCTAATCCAATATAAGAAAGGGCAAAACCCGGTTTAGTGTTTCAAACTTCCGCTTGTGGAAGTTTGATGGAGTTTTCTTACTAAAATCATGAGCGCCCGCATTTATTTCAAAACGCAGAACAAACCGAAATAGACACAGCAAAAAGTACTTACAGAAGATAAATTACAGAGGACTAAAATTCCTACAAAAAAATCCACATATATGTCTATCTAACCGCCCCATATTGTTCTTTTCACTTTCTGCTTTTATCCTGTTGCGTTAAATTGTCCTTGTAGCTTCACTTTCTGAACTTCTTCTTTGGTTTGTTAGCCGCGATCAACTTTTTTTTAGCTTTCTCAAATTAATTCTGAGTATTTTGGTGGTCAAGATTGTATTGCTATACACTCTGGAAAAAGGACAGACGCAGGTCTTGAAGCGCGAACGTTACAGTAACAGTGAGTGCATTTGCTCCTCTGAAACGAATCCGGGTTAAGTTCTTTGGCTTTGCTTGAAAAAAGGTTTCTTCGCCATAGCTCAGATATCTGCCAGTCCGGAACCCAAGATCTTTGATTCATGACTTGATCTTTCGGATACTTGCCTCAGATGTTTCACCCTTCCTTCTTCAATTTTACGTAAATTAAATGGAGAAATGTTACTTTCGCTACTGCCCGTATTCACTTTTTTCGGATTCAGAATTCAAGCGCTTTATCAGGCTTAAGACCAACCCGCGAATCTACTTCATTTATTTAGGGATTTGATATGAAGAAACTGCATGAAATATAAATATTCGTTAATAATTATTAATAATATGCACGTGTTTTCTATTGCCATTTAATTAAAAATCAGTTTACCTGGGACCCTTGAAATAATCGTAGTCAAAAAATTTCCAAGATATTTTGGATCCTTACAATTTTTGGAATAGTAGATTGTTCGAAATCCTTCGAATGTTTGAGATAAACGCTATCCATAAGATCATTGGGATTTTTACCATCCTTGGATTCGTTGGAATGTTTATCATTTCTGAACTATTACCAAAGGGCACGTAGTCTTGGCTGTTACACTTGGAATACACCCGTGAGGTCGTCGTATGGATCCGAAGATCTCGTGGAAAAATTAGAGTTCCTGAAATTTCTGAAATTCTTAAGATCCTTTGCTACCCTTAGGATCCTCGACATCCTACAAGTTTTTGAGATCATTTATGAGAGTATTTTTCGTCCCTACAATTGTAGAACCTTTGTTTTCGTTTTTACCGCAAGGCAAAATCGTAATGTTCATCCCTAAATTCCTGGACATACTCTTGCTGTTTGGTAGCCTTTGGAAACGGTTTTGGAGGTGCATAACCTTTACTTACGTGGAATATTTGCAATGCTTTGGATCCTTTGTAATATTTGATATTGACGGCGCCCTTAAAGCCTTTGTAGCGTTTGGAGCTCTTGCAACCCTTAGATTTATTTGGATGTTTATTCTTATTTTATTCTAAGGGTTGTAATTTCTAAGGTGCAGGACATATTTCTGTTTTCTTGATCGAGTATGACTGAAAACAAGCAACCCTCTAACTTCGTATAAAATTACAACCCTCGGGGTGTTGAAATTACGGATTTTCTTAAATTCAATTTCCCTCTTGAGTACCAATTACCCATTGCACGGGATGTAAGTGTTAAGATACAGGAAGTATTTTACTTTTGTGATCGAGGTTGCAGCGGGATTTTTTTTGCATATAAGGGCGTTGAACCCCCCTTCTTGAAATAAAATTTTGCCTTTAGTTAGTAGTTAGTAAGGGAGGTATTATGGAGTAAGAAATGACCCCCCCCCCACTTTTTTGACGGAAATACATGATTTGTAACTTGTAACTTGGAGACTTGTTACAATGGTATAGTTTGTGTTATAGGCCCCTGGAATCCGAATCAAGGAAAGCGTGACGTGATGATGATGTCGGTTGGTCTGTCTGTCTGTGCTCCCATTTTCGGCTAAACGGCTTAACCCGCTGGAATCAAATTTCGTACAAATATTCCTAGAGAGTTATTCTTAGACAGAAGAGGGTGATAGTAGCCCCAGAAATTTGTTTAGTATCTCCAAATGACAAAAAAACGCTCTTTTGCACTTCCAAAAACATGGACTGTCAAATTTATCAATTACGTATGCTCGTGAAAGGTCCAAACAAAACAGTTTAATTTGTACAAGAAACCGAAAATTGAACAATACCTGTCTTAAAACAATGTTTCCTTCTTCCGCATACAAAATCGAATACCCCCCCCCCCTCTCCCCCTTAATTTCTTGATGATTAATGAACGCTTATAAAATAGCGGGCATCTTTATATATGCCAGTTCTGCATTTCCCACACTAACGAATGACCTCACGCTTATTCAATGGTTTGGAGTAGATAAAGTGAATGAAGATACCTGTTTTAGCTCTACTTACGTCTCTGGAACTCATGAAAACAATGCTCTACAGAAATTAAAAGTCGCAGAAAAGATAACCTTCAATTCCACCAAAAGCTTACAGATTTATTCTTAAAATTCCACTAGCCACATAATTTATTAGAAAAAAGGTCCCTTAAATTTACGATATCCTGTAATTTTCCTATGAAAGGTAAGATTCGAAACAGTAGATCCGAATTTAGAGCTACCGTTACAACTATGACTAAATACAAACATTAAAATTGCAACGTTTCGAGATTCTAAAATTACCTATAGTTCCTTTCGCCTTTAAATGACAGTTATCCAATGCGCGACTTGTAACTTTTTAAGGGTGCGCGAAACATTTTTGATTCTTTAATTGAGTATGATTAAAATGTCTTTAATTGGGTGTGAAATTCTGCAATGCTTATTGATTTCTTCTGATTTATGCATTTCATTTTTTTGAGCTTATTAAGTGCACGAATCACCGCTGGTAATGTGTGGAATTCTTGGAGTAGTTACATAGCGCGTCCTATTGAATTTGGCGCCACTTTCTTTTTGGCGGAAATCTAACCTTGTGGTTCAAATAAAGCTTTTTTGAACATTTTGTGGTATACAGTGCGTTAATTTTAACATTAAACAATAAACATACAAATCATTCAATTTGTAAATATACAAGTTTAGTACGTTAGTCGATATCCCCGACAATTATGCAACCCGCCTTACACATAAATTTAGCAGCAGATTCGACTTATTGACTATTTAATTACTCAATGCTATGAAACTGTCTTTAAAGTGGTTTTTCAGTTACTAGAATTTTTACTCATTTGCTGTGAATTGTCGCATTCAATACGGAGCTGTGTGAAATCAAGTTTTTTTTGGAATGTTCATTAATAATTAACAATTAACAAATTAACAATGTAGGTAAGATTGGTTGCATATCTTGAGGGGTATTTGAACTTAGGAGATTTGTATCTTCATAGTTAAAATTTACGCAGTTTGAGTGATAAAGGTCGAGCCTTATATAATTTAATTTATGAAATATGTAGATGATATTTGAGCGTTATCGGTAATAGAAGGTATTAATGTCGGAAAGTTTCACTTTCAAAATTTAATAATATTGAATTTTAAATAGCACATAAACTTCGAACAGTACCTGCCTATAGCATACATCTATGTAATAATTAGATCTGAGTGTTAAAGTTTCAAGCGCAGTCTGAATTCGGAATATTTACATAAATTTCAAGTTAAAGTTTTATTGGTTTAGTATCAATTTGGAAATGGAAGTGCTAAAACAATAATAGATAATAGGAAAACTTTCTGTCGATACGTGAACTAAAGAGGATGTAGTCGGCCGGATAAGGTATAAAAAAAGGTTAGGAGGTTGTTAGAGAGCGACTTCAATCTCTTTTGCGGTAGGGCGCCGATTGGATTGAAGTAATCAAAGCGCGGTTATCCAGAATAGCTGAAAACCAATCTAATAATTTTCCACTTCTATTTCTTCGCTCTTTTACGAGGCGTCTCGTATGTTTTATGTCGTTATCCTCGCCTTTCATCACTTATATCACAAAGACACTAGAAAATAAATAGCCATAAACGATATTCTTTATGATTTCGGGCTTTTACGACTACGTATATAATATTTTAGTCTCATCAGTAAAGTCGTTACCACCCTTAAGTAACAGCCAGCTAGTGACGCTCGCGCCTTTCGATCGTTTACCATCCTTTTATATCATCCAAGATTATTCATCACGCCGTCGCGTCGCTTCTATACGGCTAGAGATTAAATCGCAACTCTCAAACCAATCATAATTTACTCTTATAAATTAATGCCCGCAAAACCCTGGGCGGGTAAAGGTCAAACGTACACCATACAGCACTAGATTTATATTTATGAATTTGTCGGGGTGAACGTAAATGTAATTATCTCTTTTGATGTGTTGTCTAACTTATAAATGATGCGGACTGTGATGGAGATGAAAGTAAATTTTTTAGTAGCTCAAACTTCTTGGCAGAGATCATACCTTTTTAGTTCAATATTGAATTATGATCATTT